TCTAATAGTTGACCCTTGGATGACAAATTTACTATATCTTGTAGAATGTCACTGCTGTTGGATGCCCATTTACGTATCTTAAATCCGCCTCCGTTGAATAAAGCTATTAATTGATCTCGAATTTCGATGATTTCTGTTTTGCTGTTTGCACCCGTAAGAAGATCGTCCATGTAGAAGTCCTTGCCTGCCACTACCGATCCCTTCGGAAACTGATGAGCACTCCTTTCCGCCAATTTTTGAATGACCTTCGTTGCCACGAACGATGCGGATGCTGTTCCGTACGTTAAGGTAAGTAATTCATATGTCTTGATGTTATCCGATGGCTCTTCTCTCCATAAGATTCTCTGCAATTGAGTCTGCTCCTTGTTAACGCGAATTTGTCTGTACATCTTCTCGAGATCTCCCGTTAAGACGTACTCGTGGACTCGAAAGCGTAGTAGTATTGATACACTCTCTTGTTGTAGGACAGGACCTACCATAAGCGCATCATTTAGTGAGATGCCACTTGCTGTTTTACTTGAGGCGTCAAAAACTACTCTCAACCTGGTCGTAGTGCTGTTGTCCTTGATAACACAATGATGTGGCATGTAGAAACATGTTAGCTTCTCATCAATGGGCTCTTGAAGTTTACGCATGTGCCCTAACTGTATGTACTCACGCATAAACTTGTTGTATTCAATTCTACGTTGTGGCTCTCGTTTGAGCTTCCTTTCTAAACTGTACAGTCGTTGTGTTGCAATCTCTTTTGAGTCACCTAATTTGTTGAGAATATCCGTCTTGATTGGCAGTGTTATAATAAATCTGCCCTCTTGGTCTCTCTTGTAAGTTTCATTGAAGTGATTTTCACAAGCGCGTTCTTCAGGCGTCCTCACATTTATTCTGTTGCAGCTTTCCAATTGCCAAAACCTTGTAAGACTGTCACTTAATTGCTCGTTTACGGACAGACTGCAGACTGTAACGTTGGGTTTTTGCTTTGCTACAAGTCCTCCCGAAACGATCCATCCCAACAATGTCTTCTGCCAACTTGGCTGATTAGCTGCTAGCTTTATTCTACCAATGCACAATAAATCGAAGAATATCTCCGCTCCTATTAGCAAATCTATTTTGGACGATTGGTGGAATTGTGGATCTGCTAATACAATGCCGTTTGGTATTTGCAGCTCTCTTTTGCTTATTCCGTTGATGGGAAGATTTTGTGTAATGGTGTCCACTACTAAACAATCTAATGCCTTCTTATATCCCGTTGTTCGTGACTGTAGAATAATTCTGGCAATGCTTCTTGTTTGTATAGAATGTTTTCCAATCCCGCATACTGGAATATCCGTATCTCGCTGATTAAGTCCTAACTCCGTACAACAATCTTTTGTAATGAAACAAGATTGTGATCCGTTGTCCAATAATGCGCGTACTGATTTGACTCCTGCTTTGCCATTTATCACGTTTACTAACGCTGTCGCTAGTAAAACTTGTTGTCCTGAATTGACTGCTGCGTTGTTTACAGTTACCGAGCTTGTATTTTCTGCACTGTGGATCTTCTTGCTCTTGACCTCTGGATCTGACTGACTTTTTGACATCTGCTCCAGGTGCAACAATGTATTGTGACGCTTGCTAC